GAAGTTTGCCTTGAGGCAGGAGGCACAAACAGCCCCTGGATGCTGCTCGGGCCTCGGGTGGATTTTCCCATGGTCCTGCTTCTCCTCTTCTGGCCCCAGACTCTTTCCCATATCTGGATAAGCCAGGCCAGATGAAGGACAGAAGGCTCTGTCATTGCAGGGCGGGTGCTACCTAAGTGCCAGCCGAGCTCCTGGACAGATGGGAGATAACTTGGGGGAGCAAGAAGCTAGGGGGGCAAGGAGGTCGTGAGGCCTTCTAAGGCAGCCACGATTTACTGTAATCGCTATTCTGCCTGAATTTCCCTCTGGGGCTCAGAGAAAGTTGCCAGTGATCTGGATTTGGCTCAAGGTCATTCTGGGATGTGGGGTCTTGTCTGTCCTCCTCCATAAAGTTTGTCTTGGATGGGACTTCATCCCATGAGCAAACCCTGAGGCTGCAGAGTCCTGAACAAGAGGCCTGCTGGATCCCAGCGGGGCCCGCCCAGCCAGGGCAGCTCCAGGATTCTTTAGTGTCCACGGAGAGCAGAAGGAGGGAGCTCACAATTCACAAAAATATCCAGGGGATGCTGATCTGGGAGGGCGGGAGTCAAGAGCCAGAGGAGAGCCGTAGCCCAGGGTAGAAGTCTAGGCTCTCTCTGAGACTGCGTGTGAAGAAAGGAGGGGGTCCACCCAGTGGTGGTGGTTACCTCTGGGGAGGTGGGCTTTGCAGCTTCGTTTCGTCTCTGCTCTTTGCTGTAGGTTCCCATTGTTGGGGTGCTAAGCTTATAATGCTTTTATAATTATAAGAATAACAATAACATTTTAGAAAAAGTCATTTAGAAAGTTAGTGGGAACTGATGGAAGATATAAGAGAGAGTCAGAAATAGGAATATTCCAGGCAAGGCAGAATCCCAGAAATGAGTAGATCTACTGAGGTTGTCTAGTCTGTCCACTGATTTCACAGTTAAGGACACTGAGCTGCAGGGAGTGGAAATGACCTGCTGGGAGTTGCTGGGGGAGCAGGCTCTAGAATGCTGGGGCTCTCACTGCCCTGCACAGGGTCCTGCCCTCCCAAGTCCAAGACATAGAGAGGCGATCTGGATTCGGCTCTCATAGCTGAACACCCCTAATTCCAAGAGTTCATCTAGAGCAGAAATAAGCCAGGCACTGGGCTATGTAAAGGACTGATATAAGTGATTGCTTGGACTCGCTCACCCAGCTGGCCAGGCACAGGGGTGGGAGGTCACAAGTCCTTGTGCGGGAATGGACATTGCTGCCTTAAGGACTGCTCTGAAGGGGAAGGGGCATCTGAGGGTCTTATGTGCATGTGTCTCTGTATGGTGGACAACGTGGTCGATGGGCAGCCAGCTCACTGCACCCAGCCAGGGCGAGAAAGCTCCAAAGCCTGCATTCTGTCCAAGTTGGGGGGGGGGGGTTGGGCACAGGGTAGGGCTGTCCATATCCTAGAGACCACCGTCAAGCCCATGGCCACAGAGTCAGGGGTGAGGGTGGGGGCTATCCAGGGAGTCTGGGGAGGAAGCACCAGGCTGCTGTGGCTTAATTCACCACCGAGGTGTGAGCAGGGGAAGAAGGGAGAGCAGCGAGGGGCAGACAGTGAAAGATGGGTGATGGGCAGGAGAAGCCTGGAGCCCAGCCAGTCAGCAGGGCTAAGCTGGGTTAGGCAGACAGGCTGCCAGTCTGGGTGAAACTGTGAGCACAAAAGCGTTCTTTCGTGGGCACCTGCAGGCCGACGTCCACTGCAGGGACAGTTCTTATCAGGGACACAGGTGTCCACCCAGCAGATGGAGAAAATGAGAGGCTTAGGATAGGGAAGATTATGCAAGGAGAACAAAACCTAGGCAGCACTGGTAAAGCTCACCAGCCATGGGCCTCGCTGCCCAGGAAGGAAGCGGCAGAGAGTCCCCAGAGGGGAATGGAGAAAGGAACTGCAGCCCCCAGAAGCCTTGAAGAGCATTTTGGAGACCCTTCCCTCCAGGGGACTTGAAGAAAGGTAGGCTTGCTCCATCCTCCACAGAGAGCCAAGCCCTCACCAGCCAAGTCGCCTGAGCATAGCTCATGCTGGAATTGAAATCGTGGCCATGGGAAGGCTCCCACGGTGACCTCCCAGCCACAGCTCAGGGAGTCAGCCCCCCAGTGCGGAGATCCAGGGCTGGGGAGCGGGATCTGGTGCTTCTTCTTCTGGGCGCTTCTCACACTGCTTGCAGGGTACCACTGACCTCTAGCTCCTTCTGCACTGCAGACCCCTAGTGCTGCCGGGAACTTCCACCAGAACCCTCTCCCCACTCCCCGCCACTCCCTGTCCCAGGCTTCTGCCCCTGGCTCCTGTCTCCCCAAGTTGTGGGTTATGGCCAGCAGGGCTGAAGTGGTTCCCTCAAGGCCCAGTGGTATGCTGCTCATTAACTAAGCACTGCTGGCTCCTGAGGGCTCAGCCAAGTGGCTGCCTGTGGCACGTGCCTGGAGGCATCACCACCCTCCCTGTGCCCCTCGATGTCAGGGAAGAAGCAGACCCCAGAAACCCAAGTCTGGTCCCATGCACTTGGTTGAGGTGCTGGGGCCTGGAGAGAGGCCCCAGGCTTCAAGCCTTGGGGACCTCGGTCTCTGCAAGGGGTCTTGCCTTTGCCCTGCCCATGAAACCATCCTGGACCCTCGGGTGTCTCTTTTACAGCTGTAACCACAGCTTCATGACCCCACCCATGTCCTCTGCAGCTGCCACAGTCTCCCATTGTGCCCCTAAGTAAACAAGCTTTGGACAGAATAAAACTGTTATTGTAGGGTCAACATATAGGAGCCCTATTGGACCGGGATTTGTTTTGGAATGCGTAAACTGCCCCCATGCAGGCCTCACAGCCTCTGAAAACCTGCCCCCTGGACTGTGCAAAATTGCTAGACCTGTCCCAAAGAAGGCCCTAGGAGGTGATGGCCACCTTAGGCAAGATTACGTAGGGGCCGGTCTCAGAGGGCACACTCAGGCTGCGAGCCTCCCTCTCCCAGAGCCAGACTGGCCCTCAGGCCCCTTCATCAGGGAAGCCTTCCTGATTTCACCCCGCTGGCCCTTCACCTGGCCTCCTTCCATATTCCCGTGACTTGAGAACTTCCACTCTGTGGTCACCTTGCGGCTACGTATGAAAATCACATATTTGTTTATTTCGTTGATGGCTTGATTCCCCACTAGACTTTGAGCCCTGAGTGCATAAGAGTGTTTACTTCACTGCTGGATTCCCGATGCCTGCCCCGGGCCTGGCACACAGTAGGTGTTAGTAAATCTCCACGGTTGCATGAATGAATGTATGTAGGCTCTTTCAGCCTGTCCGTTTGCTCTGGGTGCTCCTTGAAGGGGACCATGGTTCCTGGTGCTGTGTCCTCAAACCCCCCTGGAGTCTGTGAAGGTCAGTGTCTCCTCTAAGGGCAATGCTCAGTTGGGTGTGCAGGAGAGTGGGTCCTCAAGGGTGTCTGTGTCATGGTGCCCATGGAATGCAAGCCAAAATCTGCCCACCATGGGAACAAGGGGCACGTGGCTGGGGCCTCCACTGGCCACTGGTGCCTCCTGTGTCTACTTTCCCAAATGGGCCTTTCTGGAAAGCACACAGGTCCCAGTGAAGCCGTTCTTCCCCTCTGCATATGTCGGTCAGTGTCAGGATCCGACAGCATTTCAAAGCACCAGACCTCTTTGTTTATTGGCCAGTGTGACTGTTGTCCTTGAATATGCCTCTTTCAAGCTGAGGGTCAGTGTCACTTCAGCAACATCCCTCAGAAGCCATGCTGCTTTGTCTCTGATCCTGGTGTTCTCCAGGGGCTCCTGTTTCTCTCAAGATAATAGTCCATCTCTGAGAGGCTATCTCTGTCACTCAAGGACTGTGCTTCTCTGTTGGTGATTCTCAGGGTCCCTGTCTCCTAGGGGACATCTAGGTTCTTGCTCAAGGTGGCTTGATTTCCAGCTCACCCTGGGAAGGGGTGAAAGGGGCGTGGCATAGGGTAGGGGAGCTGTTACCCTTATAAAGGAACTTGGTGAGCCAGTTCCTATTGTAGGGTTGGGGTTTAAAAGGGGCTGTCCTCAGTGGGGCCTCAGGCCACCCAGCCCAGCCCTGCAGCTCCCCAGGAAGGCCTGACTCCCTTTCCTTGGGGCAGATCCCCTCATCAGCCCCTCCTGGGCAGCCCCCTCCTCTCAGCTCAGAGACCTTTTTCCGGAGTCCCTCCCTCGGTTTCCCCTAGCAGAGTCTGTCCTCCAAGTCTGGCATGGTGCCTACAACTCTGGTCTCCTCCCCCAGCTCTTGGCCAGCACCACCCAGCCCAGGTCAGCTTCCCCAGGGTCCCCCCCCCCCCCGAGCCATGGGCAATAGAGATGGCTCCCCTGGGCCCTCCCATCCAGGGTCCCAGAACACCCTCCCCAAGTCTGCCTGCCCAAACTCACTTGCTCCTCCAACCCCCACCTCACAGCCCTGCCTACCCTGTGCCCCCAGGAAAGCGCCTTCAGCTGGGGGAGGGGTCGGGCACCCCCTCCCCCTCACTCCCTGCCCATGGGGCAGCGTGCTCAGCCTGGTGATGTGGTAGCGGCGGGTGGGGGGGGGGCTGTCTGGACACAGGCCCCTTTGTGCCCAGCCCGACTTGGCTGCTTAGTATGAGGCTCAGCTGCTCCCAGATCCTCACCCAGAGGGGAGAGGGGAGGCTTTGGAGGGGCTGGGACTGGGGGGCCCTGGACTCGAGCTCCCTCTCCGTGTCCCACCTCTCGGATGTTGGCAGCAGCTCCTCAGGTGGGCTGGTGCCCCTGGCACGGGGTGCTGGGGGGCTGGTGAGGGACGCCCCGCTTGGCACCCTCTGGCAGCCACTCCTCCCTTCTCTCCTTCTCTGCCAGGCCTGCTAGCAGCTCCTGCCAGCAGAGGGGAAGCCCAGGGTGGGGGTGGGGGCTTGGAGGGTCCATGGTGTCCCCACTGGGAGAGGCCCAGAAGGTCAGGCACGGGAGCACAAATGGCTTTCTGATGGTAGCTTCTCTCCTGTCCCCACAGAATGGTGCTGTGCCCAGCGAGGCCACCAAGAGGGACCAGAACCTCAAACGGGGCAACTGGGGCAACCAGATCGAGTTTGTACTGACGAGCGTGGGCTATGCCGTGGGCCTGGGCAATGTCTGGCGCTTCCCATACCTCTGCTATCGCAACGGGGGAGGTACCCGGCGGGCACAGGGCAGGGACCACCCACTTGGATAGAGCCTACCCACCAAGGCCCGGGCTACCCCCTCCCTGGCACAGACCCCACTCCAGACAGGCTGGCCTCTGGCTCTCCTCTCCTTCACCCCCTCCCTGGCTTAGGTACCCTTTACTAAGGCACAAACCACTCCCCCACCCCGACCCTGGCTATCTGCTGTTTGGGCCTGACCCTGCTAGCCTGCTCCCTCGAGGTGAGGAGCGGTGGAGAAAGGCACCCCAAACTCCCAAGATTCCCAGTCTTATACCCCCTGTGTTTCAACAACCCCCTAAATGGTTCAGGGAATTTGAGGATCCCAGTGACTCATGTTTGTGAAATTGCGTGGTTAAGCCATCAAAGCCCACCCTCACATGATGGCTCTGGGGCCAGGGTTCTGCTCAGGAAGCCTGTGTCAAATTCAAAAACAGGCTGCAGGGAGGATACCTCAGACCCAGGCTCCTGCTCAGTGCGTGGCTCACCCTCCTCGGGTCTCAGCCAATCGCAAAGGTTTTGCTGTTGGGTTCTCAGCAGGAAGAGGGTGGGAGCCCCCAAGCCCACCCTGAGCCAGCTCTCTCCCTGCCTGCCAGGCGCCTTCATGTTCCCCTACTTCATCATGCTGATATTCTGTGGGATCCCTCTCTTCTTCATGGAGCTTTCCTTCGGCCAGTTTGCAAGTCAGGGCTGCCTGGGGGTCTGGCGGATCAGCCCCATGTTCAAAGGTGAGACCTGGGTGGGGTAAGCACACACACACACTCACGTGTATGTGCACACTTGCACACACACACGGGCTTCTGGGGGCCTACTCACCCATCTGTACAAACACTACCAACCCCCACGGAGCCCCTGTGCTGACCTCAAGCCCTACATCAATGGCCAAGGCCATGGATGCGTGCTGGGATCCATGTTTACTTGGCCTCCACCTTCCCCTCCTACCACGTGTATACACAAAGCCCCTTTGCCCCCCAACATGCCCCCAACAAGGCCTTGACCTATCCCTTCTGTGGCCCTCCATAACAGCCCTCCCCTTAAGCACTTCGAAATTAACCTCCTTCAGCTAGATGTGCACTGCTCCCACTCCTTCCCCTCTTCCAGGTGTGGGCTACGGCATGATGGTGGTGTCTACATATATTGGCATCTACTACAACGTGGTCATCTGCATTGCCTTCTACTACTTCTTCTCGTCCATGACTCACGTGCTGCCCTGGGCCTACTGTGGTAACCCCTGGAACACACCTGACTGTGCTGGAGTGCTGGATGCTTCCAACCTCACCAACGGCTCCCGGACTGCTGCCCTGCCTGGAAACCTTTCCCACCTGCTCAACCACTCCCTCCAGAGGACCAGCCCCAGTGAGGAGTACTGGAGGTGAGGCCCCACCGGGCCTGGGCCGGGGGGGGACACCTGGTGCCAAGCCTTGGCCCTCCCTCTCACCATAGGGCAGCTTCCTGCAGACTAGGGAGGGTGCCTGGAATGGAGCGAGGTAGAGGGGCGTGAAGAGGTGGAAGGAGTTTACAGACTAGTTCAGGAGAAGAGGCTGACACACCAGCGGGTGATGGAAGGCAAGATGTTGAGTTGAGAGTCCTTACAAAGTGCAGTGAGGGAGGCCCGGCAGTCAGGCAGGTCCTCAGAGGAGAGTCAGGGGAAAGGGAGATGGCTTCCTGGTGAGAGTAGCACAGCCGAAGCCCTAGGTCCCAGATGAGCAGAGGCTGGTCCTGAGACTGCGGGGAAGCTGTTCTGATGTAACAGGTGTGTGGAAAAGCCATGGGCCATAAAGTGGACCAGGCAGAGCTGCCAGCCTTCTTGGAGAATGTATGTGAATTAAACTTAGACTGACTGCTGCAGAGCAAAGGGAGCCATAGAAGTTTCCTGAGCACAGGGCTGTCGTCATCAAGCTGTGCATAGGGAAGAGAGCCTGGCATTCCTGTGCTCTGTGGCGACGGAGACTGGAGTCTTGGGGCTGGCTGCAGGGAAGCTGTTGCTGGAGGTGTTCTGGAACACCTTGTCCCAATGGGGTGGGTGTAAGGGCACAGTAGGACGTCCTAAAGGAAATTCCCCATGTCCCTGTGGGAAACCCATGGGAAGAGAGTGTTGGGGGCCTGTGGGTAGGCCGCGTTAATTCATTCCACATTTATAGGGTCTGCTCTGCCAGGCCCTGTGTGCCCATGGGGTCTCAATGGCCCAGAGTCCCTGCCCTGAGGAGTTCACGATCTAGGGAGGAGACAGGCAGCTGATCATATTAGGGCAGGTACCTAGAAGCCAGTATGTTCAAGGGTGTGGTAGGGGGACACAAGGCGGGTGGTCAGTTCTGAGAGGATGGGGGCAAGAGGAAGTGGTCCAGAAGGCTTCCCAAGGAGGGTGGAGGGAGGTGTAGAGGGGATTGGGAGAGACACAGGCAGCTAAGCCGCGGCCAGGAGGTGGCAAGCTGGAGACAGGTGAGACTGAGTATTGAGACAGGAGAGGCCAGAGGCATCTTAAGACACAGGACTTCCCATGCCAGGCCGAGGGTTTGAAGTTTCTCTGCCAACTGGTAGACAGACATAGGGGAGATGGCCAAGGTCCCGGGGAGACTTGAAGTCCTAGCAGGTCAATGTCTTCTAAGCCTGGTCCCAGTGCTCAGACCCTGCAGGGCCCAGCTTCCCTGTTCCAGCCTCTGTGCTGCGCCACAGACATTCAAGGACAGCTAAGATGTCACTACCCGCAGGGGCTCATGGTGTAGACAGCAGAGCTGCTGCCTCCCAGTGAGGGGCAGGCAAAATTACCTCCGGGCAGACTCAGCCATTCATTCGCTGGACAGATCATTTCTTGAGCACCTAGTAGGTACTAGACACTGCACTCAGATAGAGTAAGGAGTAAGACACAGATCCTGCCCCCATGGTGGTCACATCCTGAAAGAACTAAGCAAATAAGTGCCCAGTTAGGCATTCTACTACTATGTTTGAGGCACGGCGTGGACTGGACAACTTGATCTAGACTAGGGGTGAACCTGGGAGGACACAGCCTCACCCACACCCATGGGGCTGCCCCAGAAACTCTCACCCCAGAGGCTATCTGCCAGGGAGTCCCAGCTGGGTAGGGCCGCCCAGGGCAAAGCTCTGGAGATTTTATCCAGTGCAATTAGAGGAGAATAGCCCTCAAAGCAAACTGGTCATGGGCAGGGTGGGGGTGCCCACTGGGTGGCCCATTGAACTCTCCTCAGGGCTGGAGCCAGGCCTGCCTGACTCGCCACTGTCCCAGACAGGACTCTTTCCCTGCAGGGTGGCTCCCTGCTGCCCCCTCCTGGAGAGCCTGGGAACATGAGCCTTGAGAGGGCTGCCCAGGCTGGCTTCAGCAAGGAAGTGAGGAGAGCAAGCAACCCCATTTCCTGGGCACCTACTGTGTGCCAGGAGTGTTATTTCCGATAGTGTTATCCCTATGTTTCAGATTCGGAGACTGATACTCAGAGGTTAAGGAACTAGGCGGCAGTGCTGTGTCAGGATATATATGTTCCTCTGTGCCTGGTGCCTGGTGTGAATTAGGCCAATGATACTCTGCAGGTGTTTGTTTGTTTTTTTACTTTTTTAAAATGTTTTATTTATTTTTGAGAGAGAGGTAGAGACAGCGTGAGCAAGGGAGGGTCAGAGAGAGAGGGAGACACAGAATCTGAAGACAGGCTCCAGGCTCTGAGCTAGCTGTCAGCACAGAGCCCTACGTGGGGCTCGAACCCACAAACTGTGAGATCATGACCTGAGCTGAAGTCAGATGCCTAACCGACTGAGCCACCCAGGCGCCCCACTGCAGGTGTTTTTGATCCACAGTCTCCCACCCCCCTTTGGAAAGCTGTGTGATCCCATTTGAGCCCCACAACGACCTTGTTTGGAAGCTCAGGCACATAGTATAAAATATTCCCATTATACAAGTGAGGAAAACAAGTCAGAAGAAAGATTAAGAGACTCCTCTGAAACAAGAGAAGCTCAGAGGCAGATTTCCGAGCCCAGGTCTGCCTCTTGCTCACCCTCTGGCCCACGGTCTCCTCTCTCTCTTCATCCCTTTGGTCTTGTTTTAACGTCCTCTGTGTGCTGGTCTGATTCTAGTCTGTAGGCCCTAAGTTCATGGCCATGCCCTCGCCTCCACAGCCTGGGGTGCACAGCAGAGCACTGAAACCCAATGGGACTCGGACCCCGGCACTCCTCTCCCAGCATCTTCAGGGCAGCTCTGGAGTTGCACAGATCTCACTCAAATCGTGGCTCTGCCGCTTTATCAGCTGTCTGGCCTTGGGAGATCAGCAAACCTCTCTCAGTCATAACTATTCATCCATTAAATGGGAGGAGTCACAACACCTACCTGGTTATTATAAAGATGAAATGAGATAATGCGGCATAAATACTAAGAATAGTGATGGGTTTTCAGTAAGCATAGTGACATCCACTGCTGGAGATGCAAAGAAATAGATTAGGGTGCTTTGTTTTCAAGGAGCTTATCATCAGGTTGGGGAAATCAATAAATAATGCAGAATGTGGGGCACCTGGGTGGCTCAGTCAGTTGGGCATCTGACCCTTGATTTGGGCTCAGGTCATGATCTCACGGTTTATGGGATCAAACTGCACTGTTAGTGCAGAGCCTGCTTAGGATTCTCTCTCTTTCTCTCTCTCTCTCTCTCTCTCTCTCTCTCTCTCCCCGCCCCTCCCCCATGTTCCCTCTCAATATAAATAAACATTTAAAAAAATAATGCAGAATACCTCCGGAGATGTTATGCATCAAGAGCCAATCTATAAATATGTTGGGTTCCAAAAGTTCTTAGGTTACTTGATCTCAAAAGCACATGGTCCCAAAACAAAACAAAAAAATAAATATGGTGCCATAAAAAGAAAGGTCGAATTCATTATTTAATTTTTAACTCCCAATATTGTAAATGTTGTACCCTGGCAAATAAGATAAATAATTAAAAATAATAAATAATGTAAGACACTACCAGTTTAACATATATAATTAGACAAAGTTAAAAGAGGTCTTTGGAACAAGAAATGATGTCTTTACTTTGAATGCTGTTGCTTGAAGTAAAGGAACTCTGAGTAATGGCAGTAGAAGGACCCTTGGCTATTCTGGAGGGCAGAGCTTCCCAGCCGCAGGTGCCCTGAACGGGTGTGCCCTGTTGGCTGGGGCCAGGGCAGCCGGGAGCCCCCAGCCCGGTTGCCTTCAGCTTTGAGTGCCCTTGTCTGCTTACCCCAATGGCCCCAAAGTATTTTGTGTGTGTGTGGTATGAAGGAAAAAAGATTGGAAAGCACTGTTGAAGGGGCCCAGGTGCCTCTTCTTCATAGGGCCACAGCTCCTGAACTTCTCCCATCCCTTTGCCTTTGGTTCCCCCATTGACTAATAGCCCAGAGAAGGTCTAAGGCAGGACCTGGCTCTGATGCCTGTTCAATGTACCATCTCAGTGGTGGGAGTTGGTCAGGAAAGATATGTGTTGAACAGCGCCCTCTGTCGGTCTCAGTGTGAAGGACAGCCTCCAGGGAAGATTTGAGGCTGCGAGGAGGCCAAGCAAACAGCAAATCCCAGGTCTGGCAACATTTTCCTGTGAGGGGACAGAATAACATCGCATCACAAGGTATTAAAAATGTTGCCATGAGGTTTGAGGACTGATTTGGAAAAAAAAGTGAAAATAGCTGAGAATGATAGAGGCCAGCCTAGGAGCTATCCTAAGAAATCCTACCTGCAAGAGGGGACAGAAGGGAGCCTGTGTTTACCTAAATTCATCTACATATTATGCTAGGTTGGTGATATTATGACCATTTTGTGAGGAAACTGAGGCTCAAGAGCTTGTCTCTTGCTCTTTACTTCTAGTCTGCCTCCCTCCCCAGACCCTCTCCTTTCTACCTCCTGGTCCATTTTACCAGTGTTCACTCATTCATTCATTCATTCATTCATTTGTTCATTCATTCATTCATTCATTCAAACAGTATTTATTGAGTACTTTTCTGTTTCAGTCACTTTTCTAGGCACTGGGGGTGCTAGGTACTCCTGCCTTTGTAGAAGACGGATGACACACAAAATAAATAGATAAAATAAATAAGTTTTTAAAAAAAGGAGACATGGGCCACGGAGGAAAATATAACAAAGAAGTGGGTGAGGAGTGCTGGGCTGGGGCCGGATTGCAGTTCAAAGCAGGGTAGCCAGAAAAGGCCCCTTTGCAAAGAGAGTACCCTGAGTAAATACTTGAAGGAAATGAGAAGGGAGGAAGCCATGTTGACAAACCCAGCTGCAGAATTTGTGGGGTCCAGTGTGAAATGAACATATGGGGCCCCTTGTTCAGACATATTAGGATTTCAAGATGTCAGTGGCAGAGCATTAAACGCAGCACAAGGCCTGCTAAGCGTGGGGCCCCATATGACTGCACACGTCTCACACGCATGTGTGCGAATGGATGTTTGAGGGAAAGAGCATGCCAGATGGAGGAAAGAGCACATGCAAAGGCCCTGAAGGAGGGGTGTTCCTGGCATGATTAAGGAACTGCGAGGAGCCCAGTGCAGCCACAGCAGGCGGATCGGGTGGGAAGACAGGCGATCGGAGAGGTGGCAGGGAGGGGGCAACAAGGCACTTAGGGCCTTGCAGCCACTGTAAGGACTTAGGCTTTTCCATGGTGAGAGATGGGAGCCGCTGCAAAGTTTCGAGTCAAGGAGAGAACGTGAACATGCGCCTACAAAATCCCTTCAGAAGCTTCCCATTGCTCTCAGGATAAAATTCAAACTTCTCAGCCTTGACTTCATGGCTTCTTATAACCTGGCTTCTTCCTATCCTGCATCCTTCTCGATTGCCTTTACCGTCTGCTCCAGCCTCGCTGAGCTGCTGGCATGCCCAGGCTAGGCTGTGTTATTTCATGACTCCCTGTCCTGCTGCACACCATTGCCCCAGGTTGGCAGGCACTTCCTCTTCCCAGTTCCTCAAACCTTAGCTCTAGCCTCACCGCTTCCAGGAAGCCTTCCAGTGTGCCCCTCCCCATGGGATTGAGATGCCCTTCCTGGTGGTACCCACATGCCTGATTCAGGTCTCTATGTGGAGCACCTAGCACAGGGCCTGGCACATAAGTGTCCGGTCAGTTGAAAGGGCACTGCTGGTGTGGCATAGGGTGCCAGATAGAGCCACACGCACCTAGGGGAGGACTTCTAGTTCGAGCCTAGGCCTACACACCCCAGGGCCTCCCGTCTCTACTTAGTGCTCCACCACCTCCCTCTCTTCATCAGAGATGGAGAAGACCAGTGTGGGTGAAAAGCTCACAGAAGGCTTCCTGGAGGAGGTGACGCCTGATAGGATGTGTCCAGTCTAGGGGGAGAGGATATTACTGAAGGGAGAAGTGCATAAGCCAGGGCCTAGGATGGGCCTGAGTAGGAAGTGAGACCTCCACACCCAAGGAGCTGAGGAGGCTGGCCTCCAGGTGCCCTTGAGGGTTCTGGGGGAGGCTGCAAGCAGTGGAGCCTTAGAGCAGCAGACAGAGGGGGTAAGGCGGGGTGAGCTGGGTCTGGGGCCTTACAGTGGCACCCTTCTCATACGTGCTGGGACCTCACGGGAAAGGCAGCTGCCAGGCTGGGCCCTGAACCTTGGGAATCTGTTGCCGGGCGTCGGTGTCCGGCCCTCAACAAGAGAGTATCCTCTTCCCCAGGCTCTATGTGCTGAAGCTGTCAGACGACATCGGGAACTTTGGGGAGGTGCGACTGCCCCTTCTCGGCTGCCTCGGTGTCTCCTGGGTGGTGGTCTTCCTCTGCCTCATCCGAGGGGTCAAGTCTTCAGGAAAGGTAAGTACCCCTCCCTCAGCGGGGTCTGTGCACACCCAGAATGATCCTGCCTCCCGTGCCGGGGTTGTGAGCCGGGGGCAGGCGGTGATGAAGGGACATGAGAGGGGAAGAGGAGCCAGAGGGCCGGTGGTGGCTGCGGGGGGTGGGAGGGGGGGCGGGCTGGGGAGGGGACGGCCAGGGCAGGGAGAGCTCGGAGGGGTCCAGCGGAGCCCGTCTTGTGCGCAGGTGGTGTACTTCACAGCCACCTTTCCCTACGTGGTGCTGACCATCCTGTTTGTCCGCGGCGTGACCCTGGAAGGAGCCTACACGGGCATCATGTACTACCTGACCCCACAGTGGGACAAGATCCTGGAGGCCAAGGTGAGCTGCGGAGCGGGACCTGGAAGGGGCAGGGAGGGGCAGAGAGGCGCCTGCCTCTGACCGCAGCTGCTCTGCCCGTCGGCCCGCAGGTATGGGGAGACGCTGCCTCCCAGATATTCTATTCTCTTGGTTGCGCGTGGGGAGGCCTCATCACCATGGCTTCCTACAACAAGTTCCACAACAACTGCTACCGGTGAGACTCTCCCGGCCAGCCCGGGGCTGCCCCTCTACCCCACAGCCTTCCCCCAGGCTTCCCCGGACCCCCAGCTCCAGTGCAGCCTCCCAGACCCCCTGCTAGGGCGGGCCCTCCATTCCACTCATGGCCTTGAGGTCCTGGGAGCGCTGAGTCTGATCCAGTCACTGGAGTGCACAGAGGGTGGGGACAGTGATGCCCCAGGGGTCTGTGAAGACTCAAGAGCCTCAGCCCACTTAAAAAGGCTCAGAGCAGGGGCATCTGGGTGGCTCAGGCAGTTAAGTGTCTGACTTCAGCTCAGGTCATGATCTCACAGTTCATAAGTTCGAATCCCACATCGGGCTCACTGCTATCAGCTCAGGGCCCGCTTCAGATCCTCTGTCTCTCTGCCCCTCCGCCCGTTCTCTCTCTCTCTCTCAAAAATAAATAAGTAAACTTTAAAAAGTAAAGGCCCAGAGCAGACCAGAAAAGAGGTTGAGGGGATCTCTGTTCCTAGAACTTTCCACCTCAGTTCTCTCTGCCCTAACTGGGCAAACGGAAGCAAGTTGCACACCCTGAACCCTATTTTCCTCCCCATCAGGGATAGCATCATCATCAGCATCACTAACTGTGCCACCAGCGTCTATGCCGGCTTCGTCATCTTCTCCATCCTGGGCTTCATGGCCAATCACCTGGGTGTGGACGTGTCCCGTGTGGCTGACCACGGCCCTGGCCTGGCCTTTGTGGCTTACCCCGAGGCCCTCACACTGCTGCCCATCTCCCCACTCTGGTCCCTGCTCTTCTTCTTCATGCTCATCTTGCTGGGGCTGGGCACTCAGGTATGAGGAGTGGGACATGGCCCGTGGCTTGGGGAGGGAGGGGGCAGGGCCAGAGGCCAGGCCCCTGCTCTGACGGCCACATCCTGCAGTTCTGCCTCCTAGAGACGCTGGTCACAGCCATTGTAGACGAGGTGGGAAATGAGTGGATCCTGCAGAAGAAGACCTATGTGACCTTGGGTGTGGCTGTGGCTGGCTTCCTGCTGGGGATCCCCCTCACCAGCCAGGTAAGACCTCAGGGAAAAGCTGGGCTGGGGTTGCCAGGGTAGAGGGGCAGAGTGGGTGAGGGAGCCCAGCCTCAGGCACCCCCGACTCAGCTGCCCACTGGCCCGTAGGCAGGCATCTACTGGCTGCTGTTAATGGACAACTACGCGGCCAGCTTCTCCTTGGTTGTCATCTCCTGCATCATGTGCGTGTCCATCATGTATATCTATGGTAAGTGCCTGAGCTCCTGTGGCCTCTTCTGGGCCCAGTCTCCCCCACTCCCCAGCCCTGCTGACACCGCTCTCTCCAGGGCACCGGAACTATTTCCAGGACATCCAGATGATGCTGGGATTCCCGCCACCCTTCTTCTTCCAGATCTGCTGGCGCTTTGTCTCTCCGGCCATCATCTTTGTAAGTTCCTGGGCTGGCCCCTCCCTCCCTGCTGCCCCCTGACGAGTGTCCTTCTCTTGGGAACCAGCAGAGGGAGAACAGGAGCCCATCCATCTGGCCAGAGCTCCCCACGGGGTCTCTGCACCCACAACCTTGGCCACTGGGAGTCTGAGAGTCAAGGCGGAGACCCAGAAGCACCCAGGCACTGGCCTGGGGTGAGAAAGGGAGCAGAGAGCCCTGTATTTGACTGAGGACCATGCCCAGCCTTGGAAGGGGGAAGCCAGCTGGCAGCATCCGAGAGCTGGCCCTCCCTGCCTCCTTGGCATTCCTGCCTGGTATCCCCAGAGGGTCCTCAGGAACAATTAGTGATATTGGTGTCAGCTCCATCGGCCTTGCTGAGCTCCTGTCTCCAGTCCCTCTTAGCCGAGGTGCTTGGAGTACACGGTGTGAATGCATGCGTGTTCCAGAAGCGGGTGGTGCAAATCAGATGTCAGTTTGGGATCAGGGGCAACCTCTTAAGCCTTCCAGGCTTGGAAGAGAGAATATCTCCCCCAGCATTCAACACCTGGGAAACTCCCATCAGGGAGATGAATTGGTGGCGGGAACTTCCCCCATGGCTAGCAACCCGGCATTTTCTGCACAGTGTTCATGTATCAACTTATGTGATACAACTCTTGGGTCTCCTTATTATTCCCACTTTACAGATGAGGAAATGGAGGCACAGAGATGTTAGGTAATCGACCGAAGTTTACACCACTAATAAATGACAGAGCCTGCGTTCAAAGTAGGTAGTCCAATCTGGAGCCTGCGTGCTGGGCCAGTGGTACACTGGGAGCACCTGCAGGAAGGGGGAGTGGCCCATGGACTAAGCACTATCCGAGTTTGCCCCTTTATGCTCAGGGGTGGGAGGAAGGGGCACAAAGCGTTTGACAGTGAAGTGGTCACTCCACAAAGAGGCAGGGCCATCTCGGAGTGACAGAAGGGTCAGCCCAGTGGCAAGGACAGCATTCAGTCATGCTCCTGTCAAGCCCAGCTTCTCTGTGCCACAGGAAACTCAGCACCAGATTTCCACTTTGGCTCATGTTTCTGGGGGCGGGGTGGGGTGGGGTGGGGAAGGCCACTGAGGGCTGAGGCCTCCACCACATGGGGTGTGGGATCTTCCCCGAGGCTGGCACAGGCACCAGCTCTGGCCACTGGCCCAGCTTTGAAATAGGAGGAACGGAAGCCTCCTACAAGTGGTGGGGAGCCAGGGAGGCCAGCCACTGCTGCCAATTGCTGTGCTCTCTGGGGGTTGTTGCTGAGGCCGTGCCCAGGGCCAGCCTGTGGGGAGCTCATCTCTAGAACCCCGAGGAGGCTGCCACCCTGGGCAGAGACCTGGGGTACCGACCAAGGCAGGGAAGGAGGCAGGAAGGAGATGGGCACAAGAAGGTTCCAGAGGGGCAGCCTCGGCCTGGGTCCAGTGTCTCAGCAAGATTGTGGCAAAGTGGGCAGTGCCCTCTCTGTGCTCAGAAAGACAGGCTGGAGTTACCTGAAGGTGAGGACTCCAGGCTCTGGGGACTCATGTTTCTGGGCTGTTGTGTCTTCTCTGGGGGCTTTACTTCTTTATATTTCTGAAAAGCTCTTTTTGACAAACCATCTTTCCGTCCCCTGAATTCAGGGATCAGGATCTAGCTCCATTCAGGAAACTTGTTATAAGCTTTTACTATGTGCAGCATCCCAGGAGGGTCCCCCAATGGATGTGGGTCTTGCTCTCCTGAATTTAGTCACTGGGATGCAGCTGATGGCTCAGGAGGCCAATGCTGAGCCCTCCTGGTGAGTGGCGCACACATACCCAGGCCCTCTGGGTGGTCCATGAGCCACCTGCCCATCTTTCTGGTTTCTTAGGTTTTCGCTGTTGCTGCTGTGGCCCCAGGCTACACTTCCCACCCCACTCATTTCTTTCCACAGTGGCTCCTGGCCTCCAGCCTGACATTCACCATTTTTAGCCTTTGGGGCCTCCCCGGGCTGTCGCTGTCTCTTCGGTCATAGGGCTTCACGCTTCCCATTGCTCCCACCTCTCTGCACAAGTCAGCTCAGATCAGCAAATAAGGCTGTGCCAGGCACTGTGCTGGGCTCGAGAGACCCAGAGCGGATGCAATCCCAGGAGCTCCCAGGCTATGGGAAACATTGAACCCTTAGTAGACGGAAAACGCCATTGAGAGCCCTTTCAGAAAGAGGGATGAGAAATCTGGAGAGCTTCTTGAAGGAGGTGACATTTGCACAGCGTCTGACAAAAAGAAAATGTAGAGGATTCTCCAGAATAAATGAAGAGGGAGGAAAACGCTGGGTGCAGCTGAGACATTGAGACCAGGGTAATGTGGCCAGAAGGATGAGCTGAGGTCTCGATGTGAGTTGGTAAAAGCCCTAAGGCCAAGGATTTGGTCTTACTTCAGTAGGCAATAGGGAGCGTTGCGAGTCTTTGAGCAGAACTGACTGACTTGAAAGGGAACATCGATTGTTCCCTGGCTGGTTCAGGATTATGGTGAAGATGGACCTCTCCTCTTCCACGATGCTTACCTGCCCACCATGCCCGGACCCCTGGTTCCATCCACTTCTTCTACTACCCAAAACTTGACATTGCCCCTGCCCTTCCCAAAAATGTCTCTTTCTAGTTTGGGCAACTGGAGAGGAAAGGAAGGGGTACTGAGAGGAGGACCGAGCCCTGGGGAAGGGTGGGCGTGGGAGGTACTGGGCAGGCCTCATGTGCACTCCCATCCCTCCTCTCTGCAGTTCATTCTCATCTTCACGGTGATCCAGTACCAGCCCATCACCTACAACCACTACCAGTATCCAGGCTGGGCTGTGGCCATCGGCTTCCTTCTGGCTCTGTCCTCTGTCATTTGCATCCCTCTCTATGCCCTGTTCCAGCTCTGCCGCACAGAGGGAGACACCCTCCTCCAGGTGAGGGGGAGGGGCAGTCAGCAGCTAGCTGAACCGGGAGGGGGTGGGTGGATGGGGCTTAATGGCTTCTTTCTGAAGTGCCCTGCCCACCCCCCATGTCTACCTCTCCTGTAGCGTTTGAAAAATGCCACAAAGCCAAGCAGAGACTGGGGCCCCGCCCTCCTGGAGCACCGGACTGGGCGCTATGCCCCCACCATACCGCCCTCTCCTGAAGATGGCCTCGAGGTCCAGCCGCTGCACCCAGACAAAGCCCAGATCCCCATGGTGTGCAGTAACGGCTCGAGCCGTCTGCAGGACTCCCGGATATGAGCACAGCTGCCCGGGGAGTGTCCCACCCCCACCCATGCTCCCACCACAGAGACTGGGGAGGCAGGGGACCGGTGTCACCACCTGCCCCTGCCATGACCTGGCCAGGGCGGCTGCTGTCACCTTGGCCACCACTGGTAGCGTGGTCATTTGTGCTCATGTCCCCAGTGTTTACAAGTCCTTTGGATGCCAAGATGGCAGCTGGGGATGGGTGTGGGCATTGGGAGGATTGATGGGGGGGGGGCCCAAAGCACTTTGGAGGGGTCTCAGGCCAGGTCCCCAGAGATCTGCTGGGCTTTACATGGCCTCTGATGCCCCCACACTCTGCCCTGAGCTGAGGTTCTAGGTTGGCCCCCTACCTGTCCCCCTCCTTAGGCCTCCAGCCTCCTGACCAGTGTTCCTGCCGTCAGAGCAGACCCCAGCTCTGCCCAGGCAAATTTGGGTCTTCCTACCTGGGAGCAGGGTGAGGGGCTAAGGGGCTGTACAGTGTTACTTGTCAGGCTATGCCACCCAGCCCTGTTTGTCTGTGTAATTATTTTTGTAAAAATTGTATTATCGTGGTTGCCATCCCCATGCCCCCAGCCTTGGGCCCCCTCTGTCTTCCAGGCCTGCCTGGACCTCACTTGGCTGCTCTGGGGTCTCCACACCTCATTCCAGCCCTGGCTGTCAGGCCCAGCCAGCAGAGGCCCATGACCCAGCAGCCTCCCCAAAGCACTAGTTTCTAGGGGGTAGGGGTGGGGTGCTGCTCAGCAGGAGGTTTGAACCCAGAGCCCTGGGGAAGGGGACCTTACATGAAACCCCCTTGCCCTCCCTCCACCAGGCGAAAGGCCCAGGCTTCCCAAACTGGGCTGCCCTTGTTCACGTGCCAAATGGCCCCAGCCTGCGTGCTCCATCCCCTCTCTGGAGCCAGAGTTCCCTCCCCCAAGCCCTGCAGTGTCCGTTTGTCCGTCCTCTGTGCCCCTCTGTGCAGTGACAGCCCCAGAAGAGCCGCCTCTAATCCTCCGTAGCAATAACGGTGCACTGCCCACCCCTACCCATCCGTGCACCACTAGGATTTTAAAGTCCATAGATTTTAATGAAATTTCTATTCCTGTCTCTGAGCTGCTGCTGTGCTTTGTGTGAGTCCCCCAGGGGGACAAGAGTCGGGGCTGGGATGAGACCCCTGCCTGCCAAGAGTTTGTGGAGGGCTGGAAGACGAAAGGCCAAAGGCTATGATTGTCAGAACCAGACACTAGGGACTTGGGAGGGGGTGGGGCAAGGGTCAGACGGACAGACAGCCTTGGCGTCCTGGCAAGGGCTCATCCAACCAAGACTAGATCTGAAGCAGGCTGGGCACGGCAGCTGAGAGGTGGATGGGGTGAGTTCCACCACGAGCCGAAGCCTACTTTGTGACCAGTCACTCAGGTCGGGGCCTGGGCTGCTGTACTGGACAGTGGAGGTGAAGCTGGCCTTTTCCCGGGGCTGCACTGGAGCTTCCGTCCCCAGCGGCAGGTGGTAGTCAGGCCTTGGGGTCGGGGGCAGCGCTCCAGAGGAGGGGCAGGCAGGCAGCACCGGAGTGGCCCTGCCCAAACTCCAGAAGCCCCACGGAGGCACGGCAAGGGTCTGAGACCCTTGGAGGATCCCGCGGGCTGCTGCCTGAACAGCGAAGAGTAGCTGTGAGTGAGCAGTGGCCTGACCCTGGGCCCACCCTATCCAGCCATCCACCTGCTCTGGTTTACCTGCGGCTGGAGGAGACACAGGAAGGCCTCAGAGCCCCCTGCAGCTCCCGTTGCATGGCTGCCTTCTGTTCCCGTAGCTCTGGAAGACAGGTATATCTGAGTCACAGCATCCAGCACTTCTGGGGTGTGTACAGTGTGGGGCAGGAAGCAGGAGGCTGGGTGCACTGGAGCCTACTCGGAATCCTCACCTGCCAGGGTGGGCTCTAGGATCACCTCAGAGGGTCGGGATGCCCCTGTATACTCCTCTTCCAGGCAGCGCTGTGGAGAGAGCTGGCTCAGTGCCCCGGCCTTAGGCAGGGGTGGGGCAGGGCAGGATACAGAGGCCAAGATCCCCATGGCAGGAACCCAAAACCGGCCCAGGCAGTTCCTGGGGGGAGCAACCCCCCGCCCCCTCCCAAAAAGCCCAGCTTGGTAAGGTGGTGGCTGGCTTGGACTCAGACTTAGGGAAGGGGAGGAGCCAAAGACCAGGGGCAAATTCAGCCAGTTAATCTAAAAGTGCTGACCTTGGACTTAGGGGCTCAACTAGAATCTTCTGGATTCACACACACACACACACACACACACACACACAGGGAACATGCACGTGCGAGAAAGGGACACAGGACTCAGACACATTTACATGCACATACACACATGGACATACACGTACGTGGGTCCCACACACCAGGTGAGAGGCAGATGTGTCTACACTCAACAGAAGGGCTCTGGGCAAGGAAGCCCAGGGCTGCAGCTCACCTGTAGGATGGGGATCATCCTCTCCAACGTGTGACACTCCTCCTCCAGGAGCCTCCTGGGACACATGGGAGTATGGCAGACAGGACGGTCTCAGCTAAGCCCTCCACACGGCCCTAACCTCCAGCTTTCACCTCCGCCAGGCCCTCCTTCCTCAGCCCATCTGCTCTCTGTGGCCGCTGATGGCCCAGCCTTCCAGCCCCCCACCGGCCTCTCCCTGCAGGATGTGTCTGCCCCTTGCCTACCTCACGGTGCCCACCATCCTCTCTATTGCACAGGCCTGGGCCTGCCTCCATTCTTCCCTGCATCGTGGCCATTCCCCTGCCCAAAACCCTTCCGTGGTTCCCTGCCTCAGGATAAAAATCCTCGGGGCTCAGCACCTGCTGGCATCCATCGTTAAGCATGTCCTGGCAGTGACTGCACAGGCCCTGCAGCGACCTGCCCTTTCCACCTCTCAGCCTTCCCCTTCTGGTCTCCCCCCCAGGTGTGCGGCCTCCTCCTCTCTCACAGGCCAGTCCCAGTACTTCAAGACCAGTCCCAGGCCCATCCTCCCTGTCTCCACCCTCACCAAGCACACTCAGGGGCCTCACCGCAGGTGTCCGGCAACCTGGTCGATGCTGTACACGTTCAGCTGGTCCTTGATGACGCTGAGGTCCCTCTGACTGCTGCTGGCATTTGAGGCCAATATCACCCTCCCCATGTTGCCTCACCCCAGGCCTTCAGGACATGAATGCCCCTTCTCCTAGACAATTCTGTGTCTTTTCTCACAAAGGCAACATAACGTAGTACAAAAGGGGAGGAGCTCTGGAGCCTGGGTTTGCAAATGGGCTCTGCCACCCTTCAGTGTGTGTGACCTTAATGCAAGTCGGTTATCCCTTCTGAATTTTAGTTTCCTTGTCTGCAAAAGGGGCCACTGCTCCCCATGGAGTTGCGTGAGAACTAGAAATAAGTGGCTGCTTCCACTTGTGAATGTGCTCCTTTCTCCCTTATCTCATTTGGTCCCCAGTGCTCTCTAGCCCAGCCCTCACTGGTCCATACACGTGGTTGTAGGTCCAGCTCCAGGCCAGGAACTTGCCCGTGGAGCCATGTGGAACCCACCATCTGGCTGGGGCCCTCTGCTAAGCAGGGACAGATCCCTCCTCTCCTACCACCACTTTACCTGGATTCACCAGTTCTCATCTGGAATATCTCCTGTTCTGGCAAATTACACCCAGGCTCCTCCAGGGCAAAGCGCAGGACCCTGGGGCTATACTGGATCCAAGCCTGGGTCTGGTCTCTGCAGAAGGTCACAGAAGGAAACTCAGAGTGTCCTTCCAGGGAACCCTAGGAAGGCGACCCTGGCCCCTTATGAGGCACAGGGCTAGCCCCTCTTAGTTTTGCTGTGAGGCTTAGCTCTAGGTCTGAGGTTCCCACCTGCCCTCGCAGATGGCTTTCCGGCGGAGTCCTCGGAGCAGCTGCCTCAGTTCCTGGCGCACGAGGTCTCTTAGGAGGGGTGGTGGTGCCAGAAGGGAGGAGGGGTCAGAGGTGGGGCGGGAGCCAGAGGCTTGGGAGGATCGAGCCTCACGGAGCAGTGACTGTAGCATCCCCACCTGCAAGGAGAGCTGGGACACCTTGAGACTGGGGAGAGAAGTGAAGGGCGTGAAGGGGGCTGGGGGACTGAGGGGCAGAGAGGAGTCAGAGGGCTGGGCGGACAGTGAGATGAAGCAAGATCTCAGGAGTAATCGGGGCAGGGCCAGGGATCTGGAAGAGGTGGGGAAAATCACCAGAGTCGTGGGACAGGCCTAGAATGTGGCCCATCTGCCCACTCCCCACCTCTGCCCGCAGTTCCAGGCTCAGGTCCACCGTCGTCTCCCCCAGAATCCTCTTCACTTCGGGCTGCTCCGGGTGCGGAACGTGCTCCTCTACCAGCTCCCACAGCGACGGGGAGTCCCAAGGCATGGCCCGTCCGCGCCGCCCCTTGGCGACGAGCGGCCCCAGGCTCCGACCTGCAGAAGAGCAGGTCGGAGTGCGGCATTACTACCCGGCTGGTAGTCCAAGGCTGGGCCCGGCGCCCGAGCCCGTAGCGTTCGCCGGCCTCTCCCAAGCCGCACCCTTGTCCTGCCGCCAGTCAGCGACTGGAATTACTGGGTTGGGAGCATCGGTCTCTGGCGCTGTCCTTTCTGTCCCGCTTCTGGCCGACTCTCGGGGGCCGCGATTCCCGGTTACCGCCCCCCGGAGCCGGGTAGTGGGGACCAGGGCCCTAGCCCCGCCTCTTCCGCGCGGCCGTCACCCGGGAAACCGCGCCGCCACCCAGGCCCCGCCCCCAGCCATTCCCGGCGGGGAGGGCGGCGCCAGCTCGCGGGGAGTCGGACCCACAGCGGAGGTAGGTGTTTGGGAGTCGGACCATCCACAGAGCTCTGACGCCAAGCACTCTGGGCTCATCTCTGGGCAGCATTCGGCTTCGGGGCAGGTGGGAAGAACCCAGAAACAGGAATCCCCCGGGGATTATTACTTCGTTGCCTCTCCTAGCACCGAGGCAGCGGCAGGGTAAACCTTTCCTCTTAGGGCCGGCGGAAGTCTCGAGAGCGGCTGCGCTTGGAGGCGCTTGGGGGACCAGGACGGCTCCGGCTGGACAGACGGATTGGGCCAGGAGCCCTCCCACAGCACACACAGAGATCTAGATCCCCAGCCCCAAGCGGACACAGGGGCTGCTCCATTCACGTTTTTTACTAAAGCACCCACACAAGTTTCTGTGCAATGTACAAACAACGAGCCGGCCCTGGGGCTACTGCCTTCTCTCTGAGACAGGGAGGCGGGACCCTGACTGACTGATCTAAGCCCCGCCTGCCCCGCATGCAAAGCCCAATCCCAAGATCCCAGGCAGCGACACAGCACCCCCTCTGGTCCCCTCCTGGGGCTGCTCCTCAGCAGGGGGCGCACCAGAGTTTGCCCCTACAATGTTGAATGAAAAAGGTTTCCCCTCCCCTGGGAGTACGGGGGATCCCCAGATCTGAGAAATCCCCCTGGAAGCCACACTGCCCCCTAGTCGTACCTCCCACTCTTCCAGGCCCTAGGGGACTCAAGGGGGGAGAAACTGAGGCACAGAGAGGTGGAGTGACCTAGCCCAGGCCACTCGGTGAGGCAGTGCAGGGGCTGGCCCGACCCTGACAGTGAGGGAGGGCTGGGCTGGGGAGGAAGGGGCAGGAAGAAGGGTTGACCCCAGAGAGGGCCACACTTGAGGGGCTTGCCCAGGTTGGAAGTCCCCCAACGTAGGTTCTGAAACTTTCAGGTGCAGCTGCAGGGGGGGGCCTATTGAAGACCCTCCGAAAACAGAGCCCACAGTCTCAGTCCTGGGGGATCCCCCACAGAGCAACCACCAGCCAGGCTATATAGGTCAGTCCTCTGGCAGGCAATCCTTGGCACTGGGAGCCTTTGTCCATTAGTATCAGCCCCGAGGGGGCCATGATGGGGGCCGCCCAATGTCCACTGTGATATTGGTGAAGAGCGGTTGCCGAGACACCTCCAAGACCTGGTACCGCACTGACCCGATGCCATCCCGCTTCATGGTCAGCTTCGTGTTTTGAATCTTGGTAAACCTAGACAGGATGGAAGTGGGTCCAGATCAGGGCTACCCAGTAAACCCAGTCTGAGATCTCTGGGGCTAAGGCTCAAACCACCCTGGCTTCTTCCAGGGATGACTCCATTCTCTCACCACCCCCCTCTGCCCGACAACTGCTTGGAGCCCTTTTGCTCTAGCATCTGCCTTCAAAACAAAGATCTTAACCCCTTGCATTCAGAACTGTGACACCTTCACAAATCTCTCATCGCAGACTTTTCTTCTAAGCCTTAGACCCAGACATGAATATCCCATAGGCACCTCAAATGTGATGTGTCTTGTGCTGGGGCATCATCTTCACTCCCCAAGCCCTTCTCTGTGCTATCTGTCCCCAGGTGCCAGGCTCTGCTCTAAGTACCAGAGACACAGCCATGAACAGGAAAGTAAGGTCCTTCCTCTCATGGCAAGTCTATTCCACTAGGGGAGACACGTAACAGACAAGGAACACATCGGGGTGCTAAAGGGAACAGGAGAGGAAGACCAAAATGGCTGCCTTGGAAGGGGTGAGCATGTGACACGAAGCTGACAGCAGGGGGAAGAGCATTCAGGCAGAGGTAAGCATATGCTGACCCTAAACTGGAAATGAGAATTTGCACAGAGAGTGGTTAGAGCTTAATGGGCCAACGGCTTAAGAATAGCCTGGAGGCTAGAGCATGTAGGGGCGGGGCTCTTTAAGTCAGAGGAAGCTGTTTTTTTTTTTTATCCTGTGAGAGAACAGGGATTTTTAGCCCAGTGGTGGGGTGGGGGGCAGAGGACATGAACTACAGAAGGGTAAGGGGAAACAGGGAAGCTAGTGAGAGGCCACTGCCGTAGTCCAGGCAAGATGACAGAGGCGGTGGAGGGAAAGGTGGATGGGCCCAGATATGCTTTGGGAATGGCATGCACACCACTTGCCGATGGCTTATTTATTTTTGGCTGATGGTTTGGACGTGTAGGGTGAGTGAAAGAACTGGATCTGAGGCAAAAGCAACTAGGTGGACGGAACCACCATCCACAGAGTTCCTTAAGCCAGAAATGCCTTGCTGTCTTGCCACGTCCTCACCCAAGGCAGACATCACGAACTGATGATGACACCTAGACCTGAAACAGGACCTAGGCTCTTGGCATGCGCTTCTAGAGCTCTGCTCCCACCTTCATCCCAACTGTTTGGACCCTCCTGGTTCTTCTGAGCTCGGCTTGGATCCCTCTCTGGAGCCATCCCAACACCAAGCCCTCTCCCTCAGATGCCCTGCAGCCCCTCTTCTCCCTCCCCTGCTCACCACAGTTGTTACCTGAACTGCTTTTCCATCAGCTCCCTGGATGCCCTGTGCTTCACGTTCCCGCCAAATGTCAACCCCCCACCAGTGCTGCAACCTACCTCCCCACCCCCACATCCTGGGTTCAGAGCACAACAAGCCTACTGCTCCATCTGGGGGCAGGGCAGGGGCGAGGCAGGTGCACACCCGTCCCACCCCTGGGCCCCACCCATCCCTTCAGGCCCAGTCAGCTCCCTTCCTGGTCCACCAGAAGCTCTGCCAGCCCTTCACCTTTTTCAGACTCAAAGGGTGATCCTTTCAAACCCAAATCTCATCTTGCCCCTTCCCTGCTTAAAGCCCTTCTGTGACTCCCCAGTGGCCCTGGGACAAAAGTGAAACTCCCAGCTTGGGATATGAGACCCCAAACACCCGGCACTGACCCTTCTACTGTCACTCCCAGCCTTCAGAGATCGTAATACCAGGCTTTCAGACTCTCAGCATATACCACGCATGTTCACATTCCAGACTCCTGCAAATACTCTTCCTTTTCAACAAACTGACCACCTCCACTAGCCTGGTGAATACAGCAGTGTGCCCAAGGCAGGCGTGTGACAAATAGCTGTTGAATGAATAACCTTTCCAATTCGAGTTTACCATCACCTCCTCCAGGAGGCCTCCCACCATCACTCCCTCTTTCTGCCAGGACAGCACATGCCCTGATCCTTGTGCTGCAACTACCTGTCTCCTTCCCTAGAATGAACTTCCTGTGGGATGTCCAGCTGGGACTGGCTCTGGGGCCCCCTCCCACCAAGGTTCAAGCCGTGCCAGGAAGCACTGGTCCACACTGCACATGCCCTCAGGTGCTCCTCCGAGCCAGCGCCGGACACCAAATGTTGCTGCATCCTCAGGGATGGAGTGGCCCGCTCCTGTCTCAGTGAAGCCAGCACTCTCTTTCCACACCCTGCCCCACATCGCTCAGGCCTCCTTTATTGGGTCCCCAGGTCCAGGAGCTGTGCCCGGTGCCTGCTCTTGCCCTATCTGCTCTGGCACAAGGGAGGTCTGTGAGGGCATCAATGGGAATGTCATATACTTGGTGATGACGTGAACCCTGCCTTTACATTCCTGTCATGTCTCAGAATTAGGTTGACAGAAGTCTGGGGTGAGGCTGAGCTAGGAGCTCGGGAACAGGGATCAGGGATGTGGGAGTCATCTCTAGGAATTAAGGGTCAGGGGCCTTGGGGTCATATCTGGGGATCAGTGGCACTGGGGAGTCACTTCTAGGGAGGAAGGGATTAGGGGCGCTTGGGGTCACCTCTGCGGGTTGGGCTCGTTATGCTTGTCCCGGTCGTGCTTGATCATGCGGTAGCGGCCTATGCGGATGTCTGGGCGCGAGATCTTCATCCCAGTCAGGGAGATCCTGGGGATGGGGACAGACGGGCTGGAGCAGGCACCAGGAAGGGCAAGGAGCCTCGCCCAGTCTGCGCTGCACCTTCTGTACCCAGTCTACTCCCCACCCCGCCCCTACTCACCGGTTGAAGATGTCGTCATCCTCGCCACCCCAGCCCCAGTACTCGTTGGGGAAGCCATTGATTCTCAGAAACTGGGCTTTACTCAGGCCCGACACACCTCCAAAGTACCCAGCATAAGGCAGCCTGTGGCGTGGAAGGGCAGGTGTCAGTGAGAGGCCTGGGGGGGATTTCAGAGGGAGGGCCAGAGGTGGGGTGGGGACAGTGTGCTACAAGGGCCAGAAGCAGGGGGGCGCTGGGTATGGTGAAGACAGTTGGGCGGGGAGTCTGGGTCCACCTGAGAAAGGAGCCCTCACCGGAAACCAAACTTGTCCATGGCAATGGCAAAGTGGCGGGGCTGGTCACCACAGCGGTACAGGTTTCGGTCATCCATGGGGACCAGGTCCACGTCACTGAAGATGAAGCAGTCATAGGTGGCATCCTCCTTCAGCGCCTCTAGGAAGCCCACGTTGAGCAGCTTGGCCCGATTGAAGGTGTCCTCGCCATGCTGGGGTTGGTGCAGGGGACAGGTCAGTTCTGGGCCTGTGACTGGCAGGCACCTGCCACGTTACCACTGTCCAGAGCAGTCCCCAAGGGCCTACTACTCCCGCCCCTCCCCCCCGCCCCCCAGTGGATCCCCTAAGTCCAGCTGTTGTCTTGGACCTGACTTCCAAGGCCTTCCGTGACCTGACTCCAGTCTCCGCTCTGGCTATTGCCCTCAGACCCCAAGGCCCAGCTGTACTCATGTTCCTCAGCAGCCCCAGAACATGCCAGACTCTTTACTGCCTCGAGGCCTTGGTGTTAGCTCTGGAGTGCTCCACTTCTCTGTTTATCAGGCTTGTCTGGAAAGGCCTCTCTGATCAAACCTCCCCTCCTCAGCATAATTATTCCTTCCTTCCTGCGAGCCTCACTTATGCCAGTGTCTGGGCAAACTGGGATTCAGAGCTCTCATTTCACTCCTTTCACCCCTACATTCCAGCATGCCTTATAGCTCTGTCCTTGTTGCCAGGCGTCATCTTTGTGCTGGTGGGTACCTTAGAGAAGGGGCAGCCCTGTATCCCTGCTGAGTACAGTCACAAAATGAGATGAACAGTGAATGTACCAAATGACGGGTGTCTCAGGTAAAGAAACAATGGGGACTGAGCCCCTGAGCCTCGGCCACCTGCCCTCTCTGGATCCACATCCAACTCCCTGGGCAGCCTCTAGGACTGGCTAGGTTCACTGGTCTCCCCAGCAAAATGATAAGCACAGGGTACACGGGCAGCCATGGCCCAGTGAGTCTGGAGGTCCCCTGAGAAATGGGGCTGTGAGGCTGGCCAGGCCTCCTTGAGGCTGGATCCCTGGCCATGCAGGCCCAAGCTCCAAATTCCGGCCAGAGCAGGGGAGATCCCATGGAAGGAGCTGACTCCGGAGGCCCCTGTCCCAACTCCTGAACTACAGACAGGAGCTAGACAGGCCCCTGGAGAGGGGCTTCAGGTGGGCCCTGCTGGAAGGAGAAGAGGAATCCTGGCCCCTCTTTCCCATCTCCTTCCCAGCCAACCTGGGACTGACGGGGCGGGAGCTGCTCCCCTAAGCCGCCTAGCCCCACTTGCTCTTTTCTCCTGGTCCTTCACTTCTCTCCCACCAGCCCTTGCCGCAACTCTGTGTTTTCTCCTGGCTCACCAGCTGTCTTTTCTGACCTCTCTCACCGGCCAGGAGCCCTGGGTTTCTCCCACGCAACTCATAGGCATGCTCAATTTTACCCCAGCTGAAAAATAAACCTCTCTCTAGCCACCGCCCTACCTTTGCCTTCCCTTCTCAGCAGAGTAGCTTTTTTAAAGAGTTGTCTCCAATTGGCTATTTCCATTTTGTCAAATCTGATTCCTTCTTCAACCCACTGCAATCTGCTTCCGCCCCCACCATGCCCCTGAAATGGCTCTCGCTGGGCCCACCTTGTTGCTAAATCCACTGGACGCTTCTCAGTCCACATCCTCACTCCCCCGGCAGTACTCACATAGCTGCCCTGCTTCCTTCTGGACACTTACTCCCCGGCCTCGGGGACACTGCACTCTCCAGGGGCTCCTTGAACCTTTCTGGCCAACCTTCACAGCCTCTGTGGCACTGTCCCTTTCTCCACCCATCCCTTACATGCTGGTTTTCTCCACTCGGGTCCCATGCTCCCTAGGCAGGTTGGATGTTGTTGGGTTTTAAGGACCATGTGCATGCTGGTGGCTCCCAGATCCCTCTCTGCAACTCAGACCTCACTCCTGGTCCAACTTGTCCCACACCATTTTCCTGGAGTTTACAGAGATCCAAGTCCAAGTATAGGAGTCCCAAGTATGGGAAGGAGGACCTAATCGGATCCTCTCCAGACCCCAGCAGCCAGCCCTAGCCAGGCCCATGGCAAGGCTTAGACACTAAGCTGAGTTCCCAGGGCCTCTGCTGTGACCTTGGCCCTAACGCAGACTTCATCTCTCTTTCGGGGTCTAACTCTCCCACTCCTGGGATTCCTCCACATCTCCTCACAGCCAGTGGATCCTACATCTCCACCTCCATGGGGCGGGGCCTACCAACAGAGACAATGGGGCCCATCCCCATTGAGGCTATGCACACACTTGTCAGTGTGCACGCCAACATTCGCATGCGCATGCTCCTCTTCACGCACCGGCAAATCTTCCTGTGTGTGCATGGCCGTACACGTACCGCCGTGAGTACGTTCACATCTCCACACAACCATAGGCAGATGAGAACCCATGAGTGCCCCCAACCCCATGTATACACCAACAGGCACATGGGTCCCCACACCTACAGGTGTTCATGGGTCCCCTGGTGGCTAGTGCCCAGCCTGGGGCCACAGGCAGCACACCTGGTTGATGACGTAGACACCATAACGCAGCCGCTGCCGCCTCAGGATGGGGTGCAGATAGTGGAGCCAGTAGCGTAGGTGGTGCTCCCGGTGTCGAAAGGGGATGATGACTGCCACTGTCTGGGCAGGCGTGCAGTCAGGTGGCGTATAGCGGCCGCCCAGGAGCACGCCTGGGTTCTCCCTCTGCACCCGCTCCAGTGGCATGGGTGAGGTGAACTCAATCAGCAGTCGGCCCACTGCAGGCAGGATGGTAGCAGGAATCAGGCCCTCATCAGAATCCAGGGACACCAGCCCTCTCCCTCAGCCCAGGGGTGGGCAAGGAGACCCCAGGAACAGCCCTCTCACAACAGACCTGGAGCCCCAGCACTCCCATGGGTCATTCCCCCAAATCAAAGCAGTCAGGTCTCCTGCCCACCCCGATAGGCAGGCCCTACCCTGCAGGCTCACCGAGACCAGGCGGCGAGTCAGGACAGGGAGGCAGGACGGGAGCCGTGGGGCCGGGCCGGGCACTCGGAGCCTCAGGGAGCCCCGAGCTGGG